CGCCCATTTCAAGCAGCACCCGGAATGGAAGTGGTGCTCTAAAGATAGGAAAAAGTCAACCAGTAAGTTTGATAATTTTGGTTGGTTGGTTGGTTGATTGATTGATTGATTGATTGATTGGTTGGCTGGTTGGTTGGTTGGTTGGTTGGTTGGTTGGTTGGTTGGTTGGTTGGTTGGTTGGTTGGTTGGCTGGTTGGTTGGTTAAATACAAATGATTGATGATTGTAATTGGTTTGTTTTACCTTATAAAAAAAAAATAGAAAAAATAAGAAATGATAATTAAAAAGAAATAAAAATAACTGCTTGATTGATTTTTAATGTTAGGCTCGTGGGGATTGCGAAATAAAACTAATGAATGAATGAATGAATGTATGTGTGAATGAATGATTGAGTGAATGGATGGATGATAGAATGAAGGGATGGATTGACGGGTGATGGAATTGTGAACGAATAAAAAAAAGATGAATGAATGAATGAAGAAATGAAATTATAAAATAGCGAATAAAAAAATGGCTCTCAATAATTCCAATAAGATAATATTAAGGAAGAAAGATGTTGAGGAATTAATTGTATAATAATCATTATCATCATCACCATCGTCATCATCATAACCATCATCATCATCATCATCATAACCATCATCATCATCATAACCATCATCATCATCATCATAACCACCATCATCATCATCATAACCATCATCATCATCATCATCATAACCATCATCATCATCATAACCATCATCATCATAACCATCATCATCATCATCATCATAACCATCATCATCATCATCATAACCATCATCATCATCATCATCATAACCACCACCATCATCATCATCATCATAACCATCATCATCATCATCATAACCATCATCATCATCATAACCACCACCATCATCATCATCATCATCATCATAACCATCATCATCATCGCAGGTCAGTCCAATAATCAGGACGATGTTGTTAGTAAAGATCGGGTGAGTATGATGATGGTGATGATGATGATTATAATGCTGGTGATGATAATGATGACGACGATGATGATAATGATGTCAATATTTTCAGGTGAGCGGCTGCGAGATGGAGGAAAATGATAGAGGTATGTATGATCTTTGGCTGCCATTTTAAGTTTAAATTAAATTACATGACGTCATAGTCACATCATTTTATCGATCGCTAGCATCGTCAACGCAGCAAGCCTCGTCATCACCATCATCACTACTATCGTCACCATCATTGTTATCATCATCACCGTCATTATCATCATCATTTCCATCACCACCATCATCATCATCATCAGATCATCACCAAAAGATATCTGCCAACGAGATAGACCTCAAATGTAAAGAACACGTCGGTGAAACTGATGAGGATGACGATGAAAACGACGAGGGTGAGGACGACGACGACGACGATGATGATGATGACGATATGGGTCGTGACGACGATGAAGAGGATGATGATATCGGCAGTGGAAAATTCAAATCCTCCGGACCTCCCCAGAAATGTATTCTACGCCAGTCTAGGAAAGAGGAAAAACCGTCATCCAGTCACAGCGCTGGAAATAGCAGTAATGCTTTCCCTCACAAACCCAAGCCCATAAAGGCGAAACTGGACGTAGACAACAACCAAATTCTCTCTCCAACTTTTGTTGCGGTGTCTTTCCAACAGGGCCAGCAACACATGGCGACAATGTTGAAAGGTAACTCGACACTTTCGAAAGATGTCGTTGGTGTGGAGGCCATCAAGGCCACAAAACTGCACGACCTGGCTGCTTGTAGTGGCAACAGTTTTGGCGCTTTTAAAGTTATGACGCCATCTTTAAGGTCTAAAACGTCAACGTTGGCACCGTCTCAGCAGCAGCAGCAGCAGCAACAGTCTCAGCTACAGTGCAACAGTTTACAACAACAACAACTGAAAAAATGTCAACCAGTTGATCCAAACGTTGTAACGAATATAAAAGAGGAAAAGTTTGACAACTCACAACTTTCTGATGCTGCCTACTTGGTGACAGCAGCAACAACAACAGTCACAACAACAACAGCCACCACAACAACAACGACAGTTGGCAAAAATGTTGAAACGTTACTTTACGCAACGATGATGCAACAGCAGCAACAACAACAACAGTCTCACCCACAACAACAACTTTTTATCCTACCGTCAAATTTTTCATCATTGCTGAATAAATCTTTCGCTAAGAGTTATGCTGAACAACAACAGCAGCAGCAGCAACTACTACTACTTCAGCAGCAGCAACAGCAACTACTACTACTTCAGCAACAACAACAAAATCAAACAAACGTACGTTTAATGTTTACTTTCAATTAGAATTACTATAAGCAAGTTCTTCATGAATGGAACAAAGGCATCAAATTTTTTTTTCTCAAAAACATAACATTATCTTGTCTCTTGCAACAGTTAACTGGTGGAATGAGTCATCATTGAGCAAGGACGTCTGTCTCTTATGCAATGTAGGAATGGCCTTCCGGTCTAGACATTGAATCAGACAGCTGACTTCTGAAGATTCAAAATCAATCAATCTTCGTTTTGCTTCCAGAGACCCGGGGATCCTTGTCTCTTGCAACAGTTAACTGGTGGAATGAGTCATCATTGAGCAAGGACGTCTGTCTCTTATGCAATGTAGGAATGGCCACATCTGTGTTATCTATATTTCATTTTATATCCTTCCGGTCTAGACATTGAAGCAGACGGCTGACTTTTGAAGATTCAAAATAAGATTAGTGCATGTCAAGGTCAGCATGCCTTGATCTTACGAAACTGCTACATGTCTGGGGAGTTGATCCACACAGGGCCAACTCAGTTACCATGTTTTCCAAGGGGATCATGCCCCCTTAAAAAAAGGGTCGAATTATTCCAGGATTTGATATGACTCGCCTTGTTTCTGCCTCAGACATTTGACCGATTTGTCAGCATTTTTTTCAGGGAATTTGCAGAAGTTTTCTGAGGGATTAATCTCAAAGGCCTTGATCCGTCCTTTTTCATTTACCGTTTGGTTTCTGAATTCCACATTCATTTGTTACCTTCTGGACCAATTTGATTAACGGTTGTCTTTCTTTGGTCTTACTCTATTGGTGACTGTTATTTATTGTACATAAAGATAACATTCGTTCAAAGTGCTTCAAAGTATTCATTGCTCTCCTATTTAACATTTTTTTTCAGATATCCATGGCCTCTCTGCAACAGCTTTCCACAAAGCAGCAACAACAACAGCAACAACAGCAGCAACAAAACTTTCTCCTCCAACAACAGTTGAATGTATTTCAGCAAGCAGTGACACAGGAAGTGGCGACGCCAACAAAAGCAGCAGCAACAACAA